GCTAACACCAGATAATCACTTGTTTGGATACATCAACAGCACTACCAGCTGCTAGAGAAAAGCACAAAACCTTGCATGGGCAAGAGACAGAAGAGATGGCCCTAGCATCACAACTTTCACACCAGACGATTTCTATCCACTGCAATGGCATCACAAGGCATAAAATGGGTTCTTCCATCTCTTGGGGTTTCATTCTTTGTGGTGAACCCACAAGCTTTTCTTTTCCTGCCTGCTCAAATGGATCCCAGTTCTCCACCAGAGGACTGGGCTGAACTGGGTACAGGGCAACTGTCCCATCCCAATTATCCATCAGTCTCCAGAAAACAGCACAGCCCTTACATGGTGGAGCCCTGGAAAAGGGAGTCATGCATTTGCTACCTAGCTCTAGAGTACAAACACAGTGCCTGGCCTCCACACATTTTCCAGTCCCAGATATCACATCCAATACCACTCCTGCTGCTGGACTGATGCTACCACCCACCTTTGCCTATTCAACAGGACACTGAACCCAATCCCTGAAGGATGTGGTGCCAAGACTGTTGAACCTCTGCCACATGCAAGGGCTGCTTTGCTTACTGCCCAAGAGCAATTTATCCCAGTTCTCCCCTCTCACACACATGTGCCAGGTGTGAAAACCAGTTCAGGCATTAAAACCCACTGCTCAGCTCTAGCAGTGTGGAAAAATAAAATCACTGGCTGATCAGCCAAACAAGCAGGTGGGAGTGGTATAGACAGAGGCAGGAGAGACAAGGTACTAAAACCTACGCAGTGCTCCCAAGTGCCTTGTTATACTGATTTATGTTTAGCTAATTGAGAAAATGACTCTAACTACACAATCCAGGCCCTAATTCAGAAAGGTCCAAGCTTTTTAGTGTCTCTACCTGTGTCTTAAAAGGCATGATTTAAACCCTGTAACTAACAGGCTGCCAAAGGCAAGGATTTGAAGGATCTGATGTGTTATCATGCAGAGGGGGTGAGGCTTGGCTAACTTCTCTTGTGATTTGGTCTTTCCCCACTAATGTACAAGTTTGATGCTGGGACATAAATCAGGGGAAATGATGAAGGAAACCAGTCTCGTGCCCCATCAAAAGAGCCAACACTTGCTTTAATGGGACCATGCAGACAAGCCTAAATAGGGCACTTAACAAGCATGTGGTTTCTATAATACCAGCCATCTCTACACCTTGTTTGCACTGCCACGGGCAAAACCCTTTGTCCCTCACACACCACACCTGCTTATACCCACAGAATCAGAAAAGGGATCATGATATAATACCACAGTCTACAGAACTTACTGTCCTGAGCAGAAAATGCAGAATGGATGGAATCAAGCATGGGAGGCAATTCACAGAATCAATTAGGCTGGAAAAGATGTCTAAGATCATCGAGTCAAACCTTGGATCAAATTAGATAGTTCTCTGCCCTTTTCTTTGGCTCCAGAACTTGCCCAGAGGTTAACTGTCCCATGAGCAATCTTCTCTAGCATGTTCTCAATACAGCTGGCCAGGAAACACAGTACCCTCAACCACTAGGCCAGTCACTACATTTGTTTCTTACTAGTTTTTCCTCATCAGTTCAGCTGGGATACAGGCTCAAAGGAAAGAGTCCACTGCATCACAGAAGGTATCAGGAAGAAGAATAGCTGATGGGGAACTCGTCCACTGCATCACAGAAGGTATCAGGAAAAAGAATAGCTGATGGGGAACTCAAGTTCCTCCCCAGACAGCTACCCTAAGCTCAAACCTCTTGAGAGCTCAGCTTCATCTGGCTGGATACACAATCAGATTGGGGGTTGTCCAAGTGTTTTACACCATGCACTAGACATCCATGGGAACCCCAAGCTGAGTCATGACCATCTGTGCTCATTTAAACATTTCTTGACAGAGGAGGGAGTGCTAATCCTGACATCCTGGCCAAAATACAACATGGACAATTATAGTGTGCTTTGTAACAGTCTCACAGCGGTGTACATCGGTGTTTTCCAGTTCTTCCCATAATGGTAGTGTGGTGGTCCAACACAGAAATGGCCACACTGCCACAGGAGAACACAAGTCCCCTGTGATGAGCCCTGCAGTGTTACTGCCACACATCACATGTTGTTTTCCTTGCCGTGGGTGTTCAATCCCAGTGTGGTTCACACTGATACTTCTGCTTCTACCTGTGCAAGAAGTCTTCACTAAAAATCTGCCCACTCACTGCTGCTCTGTGCTGAACTTCTCATTTTGCCATTCTTCTGAAGAGATAAATCACTCTAGTGTGGAGAGCACACCTGCCTTCCACTCACACCTGCCTTCAGTGCACTCCAGGCACAGCAGACCCAGATGTTGTAAGATGCCTCAGCTACTACAAAGGTAGAAATGGCTTTTGCTTGAAAAACCTCAATTCCAACGGTTCTCTTTCCTTCAAGGAAAAAAACCCCAACTCTTTTGTTGCACCAAAATCATCTCCTGGCATTTCTGACCAGCACACATGCTGTTACAATTACAACCGGACTGCCTGGCTCCGGCATAGGGGGAATGTTAAACCGGCACACTGGCACCCATCAAAACATTTGTGAACTTCCAAAGTGGAACTGACACCATGGTAGTGGTTTATATCACACGTCAGAGAAAGGCTTCGCAACTCAGATCAAACAATTTAACTCCTGAGCTCCCTGTCTAGCAAGAGCAACAAACACTACGCAGCTATTGTTATTCCACAGGGCTGTTTCACGTGGCTTCCAGCCAGTTCGCTCCGTTTTGTGAGCTCGGAAGTTAAAGACAGAACTGGCCAAAACTTCGGCGAGGGACTTGTCAGAGCACAGAAACTGCTGATTCTAACAGCATCTTCCCTCTCAGGCAGAAACAGCACCAGCACTATCAGGATGGTACACAAGAATTTTTCAGCTTTTAAGTAATTTTCCTGGATACAAACTTCCTTCCTTCTAGGAAACTCATTCATAAGCAGTTGTCAAAAGATCCTTGGACTTAGAAAATTTTTTTTCCATTTTCAGAATTCAAACAATAATCTTACCCATGACAAAAAGGTGCACCCAGTAGGACTCTTTTGACCATATTTTAGATTCCCAGAGAACCACAAATTATAAGGAATATGGTGTGTGTGTGCTTCCTGTGAATACCATGGCAATTCAGCTCTTCTGTCAGAAGCTCTTCTGTGTGTCCCCGATTAGCTGAACACAACTCTAATGAGGAACAGGCCTATCCACTAGGACTTAGAATCTCTTGAGGAACAACTAGGGACAGCTACAGAGGATGGAAACAAGAATGGCACAATTAAATTATCGCTGCACTTACTGGTATCCAGTTCTGAAAACCATCTTCAGGTTGCTACAAGCTGTCCTGCAACTGCAGACAGAGCAAGGGAAGTCAATCACAATTTGCTCACAATACAATCAAATCCTTGGCTTTCAGGTCTTCCAGCAAAATAACAGGGAATGCAGTGTATCAGCAACAACAGAGCAATGCTTCATACATATTTCAAATGTTACTTTGGAGTTTTCTAACTTCAGTCAGCCCCAACTAGGAGCAGCTTCTCTAAGCAACACTTAGACCACTTTCTCCCATGCATGGGAGGCTCCAGTAAAGATTTTCCACTGCTGCCCTGGGCCAATTAGCTGGAAAGATTCCTGCCAAGCTGTATCCTGCCATATCTTTGCTTTCACATTTCCATATTTTGGAACAGCCTTTTTTGAGGCTGTACTGTAACACAGCGGAAAGTTGCCAAAGGACGTATCTGATTCTGCTATTTATCACCTCCTGTGGAAAACCAGTCTTGGATACAAGTATTAGTCTCAGATATCACAACTGAAAGTAAACACACTGCGTACAAGATGCACCGATTTATTAATAGAATGTAAATGAAATGTAGTGACATGTTTTTCCACTGTTAGAGCCATAGAGACAATCAGTGCCCCATTTATATACTCGGTGGCGTCATTCAGCAACTCATTCATAAACTCTGACTGACATGTTCAGCTCAGGTATTCCAGGAACCATTTCCACACTTCCCTCTTACAAAGTGGATAACTGGGAACACTGTCCCCATGGTTTGCAGCTGCAGTTGACTCTATGGGAGATTTTCCTATGTCCTCTTTTAATTCCTGAGAATTTCTCCACCTGGAATAGCTTTTTAAAGCCTTTCAACAGCAACAGAGCAAAACAGCTGAACTTCTTGTGGGGTGCAAACTTGCTCTTCAGGCAGGAAAATGCACTGAATGTTATATGAAATGGGCTCATTTCCAATATACTGTGGGGATTATTCATTACCAGATTCCTTGGCTAATAATTGGCACTTTGAGGCCACTACAGCAGAGAAAAAAAAGTTTGTAATGGAATAGCTTTAAATGCAACACACTGTCTTTTGTGTGTTTCTATTTCTACATTCTGTAATGTCTTAAACCGTAACACATCATTTTTTGACTTCATAGGTAATAGTGTTATCAATATAAAGCTCTGAGATCCAGCATTATCTGAAAGGAATAGGCAAAGTGATAAACACGAGATACTACAACTGGCTTTGCAATTTGCCTTGATATGGAAATTGCCTTTAAATCAGGAAAGAGTATGAGCTACGAAGGCAATTAAGGTAAGCACTTGGGTTTCACAGCATTAGAAACCATTGAAAATTAATCCCTCATGGATACAAAGGAAGACAAACATCCTATTGCAGATGCCAGGGGACAGAACGTGTCCAGAAGCAAACCGAGGTGTGATGTTTTCTCCTGTAGATATCTATCTCTTGCACACTGCTCAGGACAGGTACCTATGATAGCAATAGGCAAAAAACCTTTGGAAAAACCCTACCACCTGCTTCCAAGTGTCCTGCTTCAGGAATGTGCAAAAGCCCATGAAGAGCTGGGCATCAGAACATGAATGTAAACCAGAATGATGACAACAGATGGTGAACCCCAAATGAGAGTCTGGCAAAAATAAAAATAATAGTAATAATAATTAAAAAAAAAGCCTTTAAGCTTTTAAAGCAACATTAAAGGAAGAGAGGAATGAAGCCCAGATATAACACACAGCCACAAGCCTGCAGAGTACATCATCCATGACCACTCTGCATGCAGCAGTCATGTAGCAGAACAAGCTGGGGAACTCCCTGAAGGCACATTTACTGCTTGAGTTTGGCTGTCCACATTGGAGAGGGATTTGGTACTGGAGTTTGGAGACTGTCCAGAAATGGCAGGAGCAGGGACAGCATGGTTAGTGTGCTCACCCTCCTGCACAGTAACAGTGGCAGTGGGGCTCTCCTTGGCCATCCCAGTGTGGCTGTGTTACTGGCTGGCTTGTCCCCCTGCCTCTGCCTCCTGCTGCTGCAGCATCCGCTCCACCTCTATCTCGAGTTCCAGATTTTCCTCATCTGCCTCCACGTCCAGCTGCTGCATTAACTCCTCCAGCTTCCTGGCCTTGCGGAGCTCGTTCTGCTGGATGATGGTGCACAGGTGCTCTGTGAGGTGCTCCTTGATCTCTGTCTTGTGCTGGAGGTCCAGCTTGGCTGCCACGTACTCCGACTCGGCTTTATCATATCGCTTCCTGCAAAACCATCAGCATTTCTGGGGGGTTAATTCTCAAGCATTTCACAGCCTGACACAAGGATAGACACTTTAAGCATCCCTGAAATGCAACATGCTCAGCAATGCATTGTGCCAGCTATTCACCACATGCTGCTACATTAGCAAAAGGGACGAAAGTGAGAATTGATCAAAACTTGTCTGGACACTTCACCCTCTGCTGTTGTATATTCCAAGAGTTAACCTGCTCCTCTGAAACCCACAGGTTGAATCACAAACATGCATTCTTATTGCCTGTTTGAAGAGATGCATCACTAGCAGAATGAAACCATCAGAAACTGGGGTGTTTTCACACTTCTAATTCACACCCACCTGGTGAACCAAAACACAGCAAAGCACTTAGGTCTTTTTCTAATCCAACCACCCTCTGACAGACACAGATGCTTGATGGAGCTATACACATTGACATTTGGATCCTGTACTCCTCTGGCCACCCATATGTATGTTCAGAAAACCACGAGCAGCACAGGCTGACACAGCACATGACATCAATAGTGATCACAACTTCTGCGTGGCAACAGATGTAGGATTTTATTGCAAGCATCCCCCTGACACACACCTCCTGCCAATCTGCACTTCCTGTCATGGCAAATATAGCAAAGAGGAAATACTCCAAATATTTAGAGGTTAACATACACAGAGTATCTTGCACTTGGTTGCTGTCTGTATTAGTGATGCATCTTCCACTACATTAGAGAATCTGTATATTGATTCTAATTAGAGTCACAGAATCAACCAGGTTGGAAGAGGTCTCCAAGATCATCAAGTCCAACCTTACTGTGGTTACTAGACCATGGCACTAAGTGCTACATCTAGTCTTATCTTCAAAACCTCCAGGGATGTGTAATCCACCCCCTCATTCCAATGCCTGATCACTCTCTCTGTAAAAAATCTCTTCCTAATATCTAATCTAAACCTGCCCTGGCAGAGCTTGAGTCTGTGCCCTCTTGTCCTGCTGCTGGTTGCCTGGGAGAAGAGACCAACCCCCACCTGACTCCAATCTCCTGTCAGGGAGTTGTAGAGGGTGATAAGGCCTCCCCTGAGCCTCCTCTTCTCCAAGCTAAACAATCCCAGCTCCCTCCCTAATTAGTAGAAAGACAGATGAAATCTTGCTCATCAGGAAAGGCTTTTGCAGCATGACTACATGATGTACCTTACAGAGCACTCATAAAACTAATACTGTAAGGTGGCTGAATAAAAAAAATGCAACTCTTTTATAAAATCAGATTCCAAGATCTCTTTAAACAAAGCAACAGAAGCTAGAAGAGATCCTTTGCTTAGTGAAGCAGAAGGAAATAAGACATAGAAAAGCCTTCCCAAATATGGTCTTTTATATAATAATCACAGAGCTTTGACTCAGCTGTAAAGGCCATGTCTGCAGGGAGAAGATGCTCATTTACATTTCCCTCTCAAGAAAGTAAAGATTTCTCTGGGTCAGAAAATTGAAATGGAAAAACTAATGCTATGCTGGAAATGCCTGCACAGTGAAACCTTTGAGCTGAATTCACACACATTAGTCACATCATATTTACAAAAATTCTATTCCACAGTGATTGTCAGATGCTTCCAACTATGTATGTGCTCAGGACTACTTAACATTGCACTTTTGACCCACTGAAATGATTTGTGTTTTAGATCTAAAACACAAGGCAAGAACTAAAAAAATACTTAAAGAGACACCACTTAAAACAGCTCTGGCTCATCATGCATAAAAACTACAACACTGAAGGAATCTGACTCACATTTCCATATCCCTCTCCTCACAAAAAGGCTTGCTAAGTTCATGAAAGTCATTAAGAACTTGGTGAAGTTTATGCACTTGTCCCACTAGCATTCCCTTTTGTTACTGTCATTAAAAACTGCTCTCCAGAGCTCAGAGCCCCTTGTGTTAGGTGCTCTTTTGCCAGAAAGCATTTAAAATTGATACACTATTAAAAAACTTGGGTAAGGACATTTCCAGGAGCATTTAATGGTTTTAGAAACCAGGTGAAACCTGAAGTCCATTGAAATGTTTTTCCTCTTGAGGATATGAAATCCTGTATTCCTAAACACTCAGCTACGCAAACTCCAGTTAATCTTAAGATATTTCAAATGATAATTACCCCAAAGAAATCAATGTTGTTAGCTACCATTGCTATCCTTTTGAAGACTAATTACCATGTTTATTGGCCTGTGGTCAACGTATGGCAGAAGTCATGAGGAGAAATGCACATTTAACACTTTGAATGGTGAACCAAAAACCACAACCAAACGTCTGTTTTACGAAACGGCTGCACAAACATACTGATGTTTATCTACTGATGTTGTGGTTTACCCACCACTAATAGGGTGTTCCGATTAATTTCTTGCATTTAAGGAACTCATCAGAACCAGAGTGATTAAAGGCACATTGTGAAGGGGGAAAGTTTGCTTTTGCCTGCAATTTTTGGTTCTGGTTCCAAAAGCACTTCAGCAGTATTCCAGGTTTTAAGCTTAGCTGGTCCCATTGATTCCAAGAGCACCAGAGCTGTCATCAACAAGGAAGTTTCTCTGAAAAGGACTTTCATTTCATGACTTTGCAAAAAAACTCACCTTTTCTCCCTGAGAAGAAATAAACCTTGAAACAAAGAAGCAGGGCTCATGGACAACTGCAGAGTTAAAGCAGCAGTACGTGTGTCTCGTGACAGCACAGTCTGCAGCCAGGAAACCTCCTTCAGTTTCCAGATTCCAAGGGAAAAATTAGGAAATACAAAGCATACTTTCACTTCAAGATCCGAACGCCCCCCAGACTGTGACTGCTGCAAATACACATTATGGCAGTGACAGACCTTCATTACTGCTCTGGTGACAGGAAACAGCATTTCTCCCTCCCCTCAGGCAGGGCTGTTCCCTATTCCCTCCTCCCTGTCCCTCACTCACCTGGCATAGGAGTACTCCAGGCTGGCCTGGTCGATGCGGTTCCGCAGGATGCCGATGTCAGCAGACACCATGTCATCCAGAGCTTGTAACTCCTTCTGAATCCTTTTCAGTTTCACCGTTTCAGCTTGAGTTCTTTTGGATCTGCAAAAGGAAGATGCTGTTGTTCCTTCTCAGGCCTCTCCTCTTCACATACTGGGCCCCATTTCATTTGCAGAGCAACCAACTTCTCTAAGAGCTGTTCAGAAGGTTTCTCCTCTCTGGTTTATGACTTTTGATCTTTTTTAATATCCACAGGGATCTCAAATGCCAGCTATTAAAGGACTACAGCAAAATTACGTAATGACCATAATCAAAGTGCCTAAAACGGATTGTGTTTCTTCAGTGTGGAAACACACAAGAAGCTGCTGTATCTAAGTAGTTCTCAGAGCAAGGAAACAGGAAATGGCTTGGGGGGGAGTGAGAGGGGGAAGGGTATTTAGCCCTGCAAATATCCCCTTTCAAAGAAGCCCAGTTAGTGGGGGCCAAAAAGTCACCTAACCTAAGCTTGATTTCCATTTGTAAAATTATTCCCAAAAGGCCTAACCAAATCCCAATGAAGTGAATGGAAAGTTTTACATCAAACACAAAGGATTTCAATCAAGCCTTATGTAACCTTTTTCAACTCAGCCTATTCATTCCTAAATCCTGAAAACTAAATGTTGCTAAGGGCAAGTAAGCTTTGATGGATTTCACTCCCAAGCAAGCTTTTACACCAAGTCACTTTGCTGCCATTCATCACCACAGCAAACCCAAGCCTCTCAGCTGCTGCTTTACACCCAAAGTAGGTACCTGAAAGCAAGACTAGGTGTGTAGGCAGTGACAGCATCTCTCACTAGACCACCTGATGCAGGGGAAAGAGACACCCTGTGGCATCACTGACAGCCTGAGGAATGCCTTTGTATGTCAGACATGAGTCCCCAGCCATCACCTTCCACATCCTCCTCTCTCCTCAGGCTTTGTTTCCAGGAGGGAGAACCCAAGCCTGGTGGTCACACCCATGTCTGCTGTCCTACAGTGACTCAGAACAAACGTACTTGGGTTTTATCTCTGCCTGCCAAAGGCGAACAAATTTTTTGGAACCCTAAAGAGAATCTTCTGCACAGTACAGGCTGTGCTCACCTGTGCTACCCAAGGGCTTTGATCGGCAGAATACAGCACATGTCTGGGAAAGCACTGCGAGCCTGAAAGCTTCACATCACCTTCCCTGATCCAGTGTTACCAGCTGATCCAACATCCTTCCCTACAAACCTTGCCTTCCCTGTAGTCTTATACTACAGTCTTAAACTATCAGTGGACAACACCTAAGGAAAAGCTTATTTGACTCCTAACCTATTAAATCCAGCAAAACCAAATCAGGAACAGAACAGGGATAAGCATCTGTGCAACCCAACTTCCAAACATGCCCTCACTAATAAATTCAAGGACTTCAGCTAATTCTCAAGTTGTGTAATAACTTTTCCATCTGTGCACAGAGCTGCAGTTTTGGAAGTGTGAAAAGCTTAGTCACAACTTCTTAGCCAGAACTTGTCATCAAAGGGAAATGTCGATCACAGCTGCTCACTAGTGGAGATACACGCACAGAGCACAGGGAGGAAGAGAGGAGAAAGTGAGGTTTAAATCACGATATGCAACTGGTTGCAGATGGAAAATAACCCCTTCCCCAGGCCTAGCCCAAGTAGCAGAGCCCTTTACCTCTCAGCAATAGCTCTGGCCAGCAGTGCCTTCTTGCGTTTGTTCTTCTCCTCTATCAGCCGCTGCTCTTGCTGGAGGATTTCCCATCGGGATTTTTCCTGCCTGCCCATGGACAAGAACATCAAAATTAATAGAAAGTTCATTTCTTTCCCTGTTCCCCAAGTAACACAAATATTCACCATGATATTTTCCAGAGCAAACCCTAAAAAAGTTAAAGGAACAATAAACAGGTTTTGGTTTTGAGGAAAGAAGAATCATCTGCAAGAGGTCACTCAGACCAACAAAACATTTCTGGATCAAATCTGCTGATCAGAACAACAATCTGCATAACCAAATAAGCTGCTGGTTAATTCAGCTTTGCTGGAAGAAAGGGCATGGAGCACTTTTTCAGAATGGATGGGATCTTTCATTTAAAGGATGTGCTCCCCCACTAGGTAGAAGCAGTTTCAAGTTTCTTAGTGGCTGCTGCAAGTCGTCATCTGCTCAGTCTGCCAGCACAGCCCTTCTTGGAAATGTTTTCTCCATAAAGCAGATCCTTTCACAGGTTTGCTTCACAACACAGCCCCCAAATAATCACAGTGATACAAATGAAAGGCTGGTAAAAGTTACAATGAAAATAAGCAATGAGGAAGGAGAACACTTTTGACTTTTTAAGAGTGATCCAGATTCCATTTCCTAGGCTACATCCCAGAGCTACAACCAGCCCCAGAGAACGGAAGGCCACTCCTGGGTGAGATGGGACAACCTGCATCAACACAACTGGGCAGCATATCAGAGGAACTTTTCTGCCCCACTGTGTTCATCATGTCCTCTCTCAAGAAGCCTCACCTTAAAAATATCTTAATAACTCAGCTCTGCTAATCTTGACAACCATTTCTGCACAAGAATATCTCCGCAGATTCCTCCTCATCACCCTATTCCTGACACCTCACACAGAGAAATATTTATAACAAGATTTCAATCCAAGCACTGAGATGAACCCAGCAGATTCAGGACATGGCTGTCTGCAGCTAAATGTCATTTGTTCCCACAGTGTGAAAAACTTCTCTGCAAAGCTCTAGCTGTCTTCTCCCCAGCCAAACAGTGTCTGTGTTTTCCCCACCATGATGGAGCTGAACAGTCAGACTACTGGTGAGCTGCACCCCCAGGGGGAATTTGACTCTTCAAAGTGCTGCTGTCCTGGTGCAGAGACAGCTATCTGCAGGCAGGTGATGCCAGCCAGGAGCCTCTCAAGGCTCATCTCTGCCAAACAGAACCTCCTGGATCCTTTCAAGCTTAGAATTGGAGAGAAGCCCTGCACTCCTTCTCCACACAGGTGCTGTGTCATGCTTCTCCACTAGGAAGCACCTGAAGCCCCTCTGAGATCCTATAGACAGATCTAACCAGGCACACCACACCTGAAAGCTGCTGATCCCTGTTTGGGGAATACAAATGATGCACAAAGTCCAGCCTTCAGCAGTACTGAGACAGTCCTACATCTTGAGTACTTTTTGCTGTGCAGTGTCACTGCCACAGGAAATTATCTGAAGGCAACACAGAGTACAGGGAGTACACTACAGAGTTTGGTCCTGAATCAGGTTTAATCCAGTTAGAGACGAAAAATATGTTAGCCTTTGGGCTAACATGATCATAAATCATGGAATGGTTTGGGTTGAAGGGACTTAACGATCATCTCATTCCAACCCCCTGCCATGGGCAGGGACACCTTCCATTAGTCCAGGTTGTTCAGAGTTCCATCCAACCTGGCCTTGAACACTCCCAGGGATGGGGCAGCCACAGCTTCTCTGGGAAACCTGTGCCAGTGCCTCACCACCCTCACAGGGAAGAATTTTTTCCTAATATCTGATTTAAACCTACTCTCTGTCAGTTTAAATCCATTGCCCCTTGTCCTGTCACTACAGGCTCTTGTAAAAAGTCTCTCTCCATCTTTCCTGTAGGCTCCCTTCAGGTACTGGAAGGCTGCAAAGAGGTCACCTCAGAGACTTCTCTTCTCCAGGCCAAACAATCCTAATTCCCTCAGCCTTTCCTGACAGGAGAAGGAATTATTTGATCTCTCAAACTTTCCTATTTGACACAGAACAGTTCGCTTTACCTCACAACAAAAGCATGAATCAATACAGAATAACAACCCCACCCCTTGATTTTACCAACTTACTAACAATTCCACTTTCTTTCTCTCCACCTTGGAGTTGACTTTTGCAGGGCAGGGCTGGGCACTGTCACTGCCATTACAGGGATGTCCTGGTGTCACTTCCTTCTGCTGATCTTGGCTGTTGCTCTGCCTTTGCTCTGCAGCCGAAGGAGGACGAGGTGCTGGCACAGGCTGCTGAGGAGGACAGGGATTGTGCTGTGGTGCAGAGAGCAACTGCTCTGGGGAGACAGGGAGTGCCCCACCCTGCAGTCCCAGCTTCTGGCATTGCTGCTGGAGAGCTTTTTCACACTGCAGTTGCTTCCGAGTCTTGTTCACAGTGTGGGGCCGGTGCTGCTGCTCTGAGGGCTCGTACAAATCTGTCAGGGGAGGAGAGGGAGAGACAGCATTAACCCCAAACCTCAGCATCACAGAGAGATGATGTGAATGAGCTTTTCTGGGCATGCAACTGCTGCAAAACCAACATCAGGACAAGACAACCAGGGTGTAATGGGAAGGCAATATAGGGGAAAACCCAAGGACCTGGAAATGTTTTGTCAGTGTAAGAATCAGGAATTTTAAAGACTATGAGCAACCAAAATGAGGAGAGGGAGGAATAAGGGGATTGGACTGCAGGACTAAAGGAGGAACTGGCAGGAGTGAGGTGACTCTTGGGGTGACCATAGAGAGACAGATCTAGGGGTAAAGAAAGGTCCCAGGCAGTCTGGTGGGCAAAGCGAGGGATTATAAAGTGAGGAATGAGGAAGGACAAGGTGACATGCAGGCAAGGAGGAGCCTGGGAACACGAGTGGGGCAGTGCACAGAGAGATGTGGGTGCAGGACAAGGGGCTGGAGCGTCCAGAAACGCGACTGGGAGATGCAGGTGAACACAGAGAGAGGCTGGATGAGGGGAGCAGGGAGAGGCAGGGCTGGATGGGAGGGACCGAGGGGATGCTTGGGGGGAACCAGGGGCTGCCAGGGGAAGCGAGGGGATGCATAGAGGGATCAGGGGTTGCCCTGGGGAAGCGAGGGACTGTTTGGGGGAACCGAGGGGATACTTGGGGCGAACCAGGGGCCACCAGGGGAAGCGAAGGGCTGCCCTGGACAAGCGAGGGGCTGCCAGGGGAAGCGAGGGGATGCATAGGGGGATCAGGGGCTGCCCTGGGGAAGCGAGGGGCTGTTTGGGGGAACCAGGGGCCGCTATAGGGAACCGAGGGGATACTTGGG